CTTTTCCAACAGTGCAATGATTGGCCTCCATGGCAGCAGTGAACGCTCAGAATGAAAACCTCTGACTCTTGCACAACAGTAGTCATTTAGTCACTGTTAAATACAAATACCCAAAGCTCTGCACCCTAATTTTAACTAGCAAATTATACTGCTACGAAAAAGTATAAGCCCAGAGAAGGCTATAAAATATAAAAYTCGCTGATACAAGCTCACAACAAGGAAGTATGGCCAGCAAGCCCACACTCTCCTCCATAAATATTTTAAGTGTTAATGAAACAGTACCAAAGAGAGAAAGACGCTAAAAAGTACATTTTACATCCCCATTCCTCCCACTTCTTTTAACAGTGGACAGACAGGAGGAGAGCAATGGCAGTTCCTGCCCAAATAATTTCATCAATCCAAACCTGATCAATCTTACAGCAGACAAGAGGAACAAAAATGAGCCACCATCTGTGGTGTCTTCTGGGTGGCAGCATAACTAACATTTTCCGAGCGAGCTGACACTCATGTCAGAGACAAGAAATGCATGATGGTTTTAAAAAACTTTTGTATCACTCTAAATTTGTTTTTTTATAATCTATATTGAAAGATACATTGATGCCAGGAGTAGCAAGCTGCTTTTTTTGTGAAAGATGCTAACAACATACCTTCATAGTGGCTGCCATTGTACCATCATGGTGTGTTACAACCCTCTGAAACTCCAATTCACTGCCAGCAATGCAATACCTGAACACAGTTCAGAGCTCTTTGCACTTCCTGATACTTGGAAGATATCAAAGAGCTGCCCTGAACATGCATTGTGCTGAAAGCTGCTAAGAACAGTTCACGTGCAGTGAGGAAACCTGGAATACTGGAGATAGGCTCATTCATTYCATGAGGCAAAAATTTACTCTGGTCAAAGCAGTAACAGTAATCACTCCCTTTCAGAAGACAGATCCAATGCATTAATCGCTGAAGTGTCATCAAATATCTGACAGATCAGACCCAAATGGTGTGGTGTGCTTACACCAGACGGCAATCTGAGCCTTAAAAGGAAAGTTGCAGCTTTCTTTGCTGTAAGGTTTCCAAGTGGGCATGTTGTGCATGTTATTTATGGACATTTGCCCAAACCTTTGGATGAACAACCCAAGAGAAGTGAGCTTCCACCTCAAACTCAGTGACAACATCTCAGTTCTCCAGTTTAACTGCTGCATTACTCATTGCTTCTGCAAACAGCCAAAAGAGTGAGAAAAGCCAACAGAGAACAACTAGAAGTTACTGTAATGGTGGAAAATTAAAAATAAAAAGGTAGAGATGTGGAGGGAAGGAGATTCTAGTGAAGGACAGCAAAGACATGGAGTACTGAAGGAAGGGGACACTGAAGAGGGTGGGGGAACCACAAAATTCCTCTCAACATGGGAGACCCAGAAACAAAAGCACCCAAAACCTGAGCCACCCTTCAAGCTCACTAGCTCACTCAATCCTTCCCTTGTCCATTCCCAAARCTTCAGGCTGGACACCATGGCCAGGGAACAAAGTTGTGCTGTGGCAGGACCTCCAGCACGCTGCACTCCTACTCCRCTGTCCCCTCGGTTACCACAAGGACTGGGCCCCTCCTGTTCCCCTTTTCCACTCCAAACAGTTCCGACAGAGCCCCCTCAGTGCACSCCAGGCCCCACAAACCACCCCAAAGCCAGGCCTTGCTGAGGGCAGGATGAGCACAAGGCTCAGAACTCAGGCAGCCCTCCSTCTCTCCCTCCTTGGGGGAAAGGTGAGGCAGCACTGTCAGCACAGACCAAAGAACCAGCAACCACCTCAGCCCAAAAGGCAAAAGCCTYAACCCAACAGGAACACGGCAGCCCCAGCACAAAAACACAAGGTTTAACTCTACCGACCTGCTTTGTATCCACAACAGCCCTTGGCCGGGTACACCGTGCTCCGGAGAAGCAGATAAAAGCCCCGAMACACGGTATTTACCCGCACGGCTGSTGCCGGCCCCTCCCCGCTCCGTGAGGGCCGGAGCTGGCCCAGGTGTCCCCGGTTACTGCACAGCCCCRCAGCTGCTGCCCCTCGGGACGGGCTCCCAGCACCGACTGCTCCACAAAACCTCCTTCCAGCCTAAGCCATCAAATAATGCCTCACATTTCAATGCACGCTGTCACCTGTGTGGCTGTGCTTTGATATCAGTGGTATTTCTACACAAAACCCCCCGTTTTTGCTGTGGCCAGGACAAGCTGCTGCTTTGTAATGAGCAGTAACACCACTGGTCTGGTTTGTCATCYATGCTAGATTAGGGCAGGGGGACACAGAGGATGGTGCCTCTAACCTGCTCCATGTGCCTCAAACTTGGTTCTCGTGTCCATACACAGTACTTTCTGGGAATATTCATCGTCCTGACTGGATTTAGGAGCTGCTTGCTCAACAACATACTGCAGGAAAGTCACCCAGAGGMAGATTAAAGGACATTCAGCTGGTCTCTGGAGCTGCAGTTGTCTGCTGGTATCTGCTGGTTACAGCCCACCAGCAAATAAAGAATGGGACCTGAAGATGGGCCAGCTGCTGCTCTGTCCAAAGTGTCCTCTGTTCATTTAACCTGCACACAGCTATTGCTGGGGTCAGGGGTGGCTGGAGGCTCACAGCACTGCCAGAACAGCATCTGCTCCTTCAGCACAATCCTCATGTTGGACTGCAGCTCTTTGTGCTGGGGCAGGCCTGAAACCTGCACTCAGCATTGCTGAGCTGTTCTGTGACTCAAGATTATCACAACAAATGAGAGGAAGGGGAGCACTGTGGCAAATTAACCCCTGCTTACAACCACGACTTACCATGCAAAACACAATTCTGAGAGCATGGCTTCACTACACATTTTCCATTCAAAGGGAGAGGAAAGCCAGTTTTTAAAAACTAGGGCAAAGGCCAGTAAATCACCAAAAAGTTATTTAAACAAGGAACATCAGAGAGTAGCTTTTTGAACATAGAGCTTATATGAGCTTCTATAAACCAAGGGGAATAAACATTTTTGCCCCTCAAATATGATTACCAGYTGGAGGCAGCACAACTTAATCAATGAGAGATTTCCAAGAACTTTGCCGAATTAGGAAAAAGCAAAAGCAATGATTAACATGCTTTTCTGCTCTACTTTCTGACACCAGAAGAAACGTGTTTGTCTGACCCGCACTATATATACTCACATCTTATGGCTTGGTCTATCTGTCCATGACTTCATCAGCAAAAGGTGTTTAGTGTTTGACTGGCATTAAGTGGCCAGACAGAATGCATTAGTCTAGAAATGGATTATTAAATTCCACTGTCAAACTGAAGTAGTTGATAAATACAATGGAATGAAAGTCCTTTAATTATATAATGCCTTATGTGTACTGTTAAAAAGTTCCCATACAATTTCAGTCCTGTTTTGATTTCTTCCTTGCCTAACCCTGTACTTTCTTCTGTCAGGCTTTGTCCTGCTTAAGTGTGTAGTACTGCCAGCTACCAAGTTTTCTACATCTTTTTTGGGAACCGTCCCTACTYGGCAAAGTGGGCCAAGTCACCACATATGGATTCTAAACTCCAGGACTACAAACCACTCACATAGCTGAAGGATTACAAATCAATTCCATTCCTTCTAGGCAAAAAAGGAGGCGCTTTCAAGCTGATGGGAGGACTCTCTTCCTTTTCAAAATGCAAAGGAAAATTCAGTAGGATGCCATTAGTTATAGGATGCAAAACTGTGACAGTCCCACCCCCTTACCTGCCTACTCAGCAGCAATATTAAAAG